TCGAACAAGAATTCATATGCAAAAAAAAAAGTTTAATTTGAAACAGATACAAGACTTCCTAATTTCAATTCAACTTTGTGAAAAGGAGCAAAAAAACTTAATTTCAAACCGTTTTTCAAACAAGATGTAAGCTTTTCTTATATCAAATCGCGTTATTGCAACCAAAATCATACCTTACTGATTTGAAACAAGAGTTAAAGCTTCTTGTTACAAACCATCATATGCAAAGAGTTCTTATTTGAAATCGCCTGTGTTAAACTAAGGAAAATACATCCTCATCTTAAATCGTTTGAATTGAACAAGAGCCAAGGCTTCTTTATTTCAAACCGCCTAGTTTAAATAATAAACATTACTTCCTTATTTAATAAATTGTTTGGTTTAACAAGAGACAATCCTTTATCATTTCAAATAGCCCTTGTCGACCAAAAGCCAAAGAATTTTTACTCCAAATAGTCAGTGTCGAGCAAAACAAAAGATATCTGTATTTCAAATATCGTGGGAAAATCCATAAGATTTCTTTATTTCAAATCGTCTCTGAAAAAATACGTTATCCATATTTCAAATTGTCCTTTTCGAACAAGAAACAAGACTGCTTTATTTCAAATTGATTTTATCGAGAATGAGACATAAATTCTTATTTCAAATCGCTTGTTTCGAATAAAAGAAAATGAATACTTATTCCAATTCTTTAGAGTGAAAAGATATTGAATCAAGGCTCGCTTAATCCAAGACGTTAGGAAAAAGTGAAGTTTGATTATTTTAAATCATCTGATTTCAAATGGCCGGTGTCGAAGAAAAATTAAAGCAACAGCAGTCATCAGCAAGTAGAATATGTTTAAGACTCACACCGGATAAGCTTTGTGGATTAAAACTTTAACTCATAAATTTGTTTATATAGTAAATTGTTAGTTCAGTCACTAGGCCGGGCAGTGTGTAATTCGGGCGAGCAATGACTGAGATTTACTAAATAAGAACTAATCGTGATATCCCTAGATTAAATTATGGGTTCAGTTCGAAATACACCGTATGCAACCCAGATTAGCCTACTCCTGATGAAGGCAAGATCACACAATGGCCGAAACATTATGAAAACAACATCAAAGCTATTGTTATCATAACAAAATATTTCATATATAAACAAAAACTAAAGTTTGATTATGTTGTGGATTCCGGGTTGAAATCCGGTACCAATAAATAACAAACGCCAGGAATGAATATATGAAAATAATGTATTAACGTAATAATACAAACTGGTAAAGCAGGTTAGTAGTTCCAGGAATACAGGTTAGTAGCAACATATATATAGTCTTTGGTCTTGAAGTATCGATGTATGACTTCTTACTGAGTCTACGTGTTCGCTCACTGTGACTCGTACAACGCTGTTACCTCACCCCTCACTCTTCCGGTTACCTTCAACCTTTTACTCTGTCACTCTGGACTCGACTTAACACTTGCTCTCTCGGGTCTTCATGTAGCCGTAGTATATGTATATACTGGGTGAGTCCATTTGTGTAAAAAGTGGAGAACCCCTCAACACCCCCTCCTTAGATCACTTTTTGGGTGGAGTTAATATCTTTTCCTTTTTATGATCGATAATCAGAGGATCTGTAATATTTCTTTTCCTGCTAGTCCTAATTTCTGTCTCTTGTGGTCTTTGAATTTATAAAGGTTCAAAGATCGCCTCCATCGAATCATCCTTTTCAGCGGGTGACAAGCTTGGCTCTTCAACCCGTCTTTTTTATATTTGGTCAATATGTCTTCGGTGGATAAATTTTTCTCCTTGTATTGTGTATATCACGTTTCCTAGTCTGTTAATTATTTTTTTCAAAGCTCTCTTTACTTCTTTGTCGACTTTCTCTATGGTAGCAAACGACACGTTCCGCTTCTTTTAAAATACTGGTTGGACGTTTTCTTTTAATTCAATTCTAGCTGCACCCTTACAAAAAGAACTGATAGGTAAATCCCATACATCGAACTTTTGCATCCAGTCCGTTCCCACCAGATTTTCTGTATCTTTCATTAGGAATATTTTGAGTTTTCTTGTTTTTCCTTGAAATTTTACATTTAGGATCACTTCTCCTTCGAATTTTATACACTTTCCTGTAACAGACAGCAATTTTTTGTGTATGTAACATGGTTTGTCTATTAAGCTTTCTCCATGTCCGTAGGTTAATTATCGTTATATCGGAACCTGAGTCAAGTTGCAATTTTATCTTTTTATTTAAGATTTCCAGTTCCACATATTTCCTTATAGTAGTATTGTCTTCGTCATGCATTCGAGTAGCTCTTATCCTCCTAGTAAATTTTCTACATTGGGATGTCTTGTAACCCATTTTCCCCATGCAAGTCAGTTTTTATATTTAAAACGACAATCCTTATTCCAGTGTAGTCCTCCATATCGATAACATGCAGATGGGGCGGGGGCTTATATTTACTTTGATTTTCGTCATTATTTGCCCTGTACGTTGTACTTTTTTCATTATTATAGAATTTTTGTTTTCTTTCCGGGGAGGGTGAAAAACGCAAACTTGTGTTTAACTTACAAATATCTAATACTCCTGACTCTTCAATATCCTTCGAGTCTTTCTTTATGCTCGGGCATTTTGGCAGTCTTCCGACAGTTTTGTAGTGTTAATGCAGGTTCATTTTGCAGTTTTAAAAGCATTCTTTTGCGCATTTCACTATCCTTTGCTGAGACTAACCTTGTACAAAAATAAGACACTTGAAATTGTCCGAGGTTAATTCTGCCAACTTGAAATCGTCGCAAAGTTTATTCACGATTGCGGCTAACGTAGAATAGTCCTCATTTTCATCCTTTACGAGGTTAAGACATTTCCACATTTTGTGAAAGAATGACGTTTTCGGGCTGAAAAGCTCTGTCAGGCATGTAACTGCTTCATCAAAGGTTAAATCATTTGTCTTCTTTGGCAAAATGTAATCCATGAATTTTGTGTATTCATCCGTTCCTAATTTTCTGAGTAATAGTCGTAGCTTCTTTGCTTCTGTCCAATTTTGACAATCGATGTTGAAGATGTCTTCATGACGTCTGAAAAAAGTCCCCGAAATTTTATCCTCTTCTAGGGAATATTTGAATGTTTTCTATCGTGTTCCATACCGTCTTGAGAAAAAAGTCGCCTTTTTTTCAATATTTTGTTGTTGTGTATTACTCTTCTTTTACAATTAGCTCCTGGGTTGTAATTGTCTTTCTTCATTTTGCATTTGTCTTTTATGATTTTCCTTCTGCGTTTGTAGTAATATTTTTTCGTTCTTTCTTGGAATTGTAATTGCTGTTCATTTTGGTGTTTAACAAGTTCTACTAAAATCTTTTAAAATCCTCCATGGTAAAGGTCTTACGAAAAAAACTCGATTTTCCGTATTTTAATCCTAATGTTTTGTTACCCAGTTGTCGCGGATACTGAAAAAACGACAATTCTCTCTTTTGAGTCTTTTTCGCCCAAGCTGTTGTGGTGAGAAAAGAGAATTTTTTTTCTTTCCGTGTAGGTCCCAATTTCTCGACACCAAGTCGTTGTGGTCAGCAAAGGAGAATTTTCTTTGTACTCTTCACCAATGAGTTCGAAATTCCTCGTTGCCAAGTTCTTGTGGTCGACGAGAGAATTTTTTTTCGTGTGAGTTCGAAGTCCTCGTCGCCAAGTTGACGAGGGAGAATTTTGTCTTTTTTGTTCTTGCCGTGTGAGTTCGATATCCTCGTCGCCAAGTTATTGTGGATTCCGGGTTGAAATCCGGTACCAATAAATAACAAACGCCAGGAATAAATATATGAAAATAATGTATTAACGTGATAATACAAACTGGTAATGCAGGTTAGTAGTTCCAGGAATACGGGTTAGTAGCAAATATATATATACTGTCTTTGGTATTGAAGTATTGAACTATCTTACTGAGTCTACGTGTTTCGCTCACTGTGACTCCTACAACGCTGTTACCTCACCCCTCACTCTTCCGGTTACCTACAACCTTTTACACTGTCACTCTGGACTCGACTCGACACTTGCTCTCTCGGGTCTTCACGTAGCCGTAGTATATGTATATACTGGGTGAGTCCATTTGTGTAATAGGGGAGAAACCCCTCAACATATTTTCAAATCGTCTGAGTTATACAGTGACAAAAGTCTTCCCTTCTACGAATAACCCAAGTGTGACGAGGGCAAAAGGCAAGTTTATTTCCAGTTAATTATATAATCCTACAAGGATTTTTTCAAATGGTGTAATGGATGTTTTGATTAATTTTAAACAACTTAGACTTCTACCCATTTTGCTCTTGGTTTTCGTAAATCCTTATTAGAGTCGTTTTGTTTTAAATTCCAGCAGTAGTCAGCCATCTTTCTTTCCTTCGATGTTCTTTGATATCGTTATCCCATAACTTCTTTATGTCTTCGTGGAATATTTCACCTTGATCATTACTAACATCATCCAAATTAAATTCAATCACAGACCAACTCAAATCTCTAGTTTTAGATATTAGATATTTTGTTGGTGGAAAATTAAGCTTTTGCACGATTTGGACAATTTTGCTGTCACACCCGTTATATTGCCGATAAATTATGCCTTTGACAACGACGGATGGATGTTCTACATAAGTTTTTACAGAAAAACCTGCACAAGTGGTCAGTTGTATGTGCTCTGCCATCATAGTTCCATGTTCTGTACTGATGCATCGTGTACTGTATGTCATATGATTTTACAATCGCTGGCGTTATTGGAGAGGAGTTTTCCATCTCCTAGCTGCATGTTACTGCTGGCTCCTATAAGAAGCTCATCGTGTAGACTGGAGTGAATTCAGAGTTTTACATTTCCTAACCTGGTTGCCAACCAAGGCTATAGAGCTCTCTCTTCAGAGTTATTTATCCATGGCTGAGGTAAATAAGAGATGAATTTCCCAAGAGTAGTTATGTGTAAGTAAATACAATGATCTCTAGAAGAATTCGAAGTCTGATTTCTGATTGCGCGCCTTTATCCATTATGTCATCCGCAAATCCAAGCTGGTATTCTCAAATGGTCGCCCATCTAAGTACTGATCACAGTGGACGTGGCTTAACTTCAGTGATCGTACGAGAAACGGTGTTCCAACGTGATATGTCCGTATATATATACCTGCATGTTTCGTTGAATATGACAGATAGGGAAAAACATTACGAGTTTTTAATTTTACTTTTCTAGTGCATATATATATATATATATATATATATATGCTGTGAGACCGTAACATACCTACAACATGGACTCTTCCAGGACTATATAAAGTGCGATATAATACTCTGAGAGAGAGAGAGAGAGAGAGAGAGAGAGAGAGAGAGAGAGAGAAAAAAAAAAAAATATTCTAATACCGTAGTATCATCCGCGTTCGACGACCGATATTCGACACTAACACATAGTAAGCTCCACTTACACTATATCTTTGTAACCTTTCTGTTTCATATATCTTTCTTGCCTCTAATCCGTGTTCCGTGTTTTCCTTCCGTGGTCCCAACTATGGGCCCACATCAATATATATATTCTTTTTTGAAGTTTATACGTTCTTTTTATAGATACAAATATTTAAGTAAATGCTCTATTTGTTTTTGTTTTTTAAAGGTGCCGATAATATTTTTATACGTTTTTTACAACTAAAATTTCTTAATAAGTCTGCGTTTTCTACAAGGATTTTTCTTATAAGTGAAACCGTATTTTTAAAGAAATATTCATATTAAACGAAACAGGTATAAAAGAATGAATGCTGACCAAATATGATATACCGACTGTAACAGCAAAATTCTCCAAATCGTGCAACAACATGATTTTGTCAATCTCACAAAATGTATCTTTTAAAAAAATTAAACTAATTGGTTTTCTTTTTTCCATGTTTTCAGATAAGACGTTGGGCATCTTGAAACTATTTGTCGTAAGAATTATCGAAAAACCATTTGAGTTATTCAGCTAAGAATAGAACAGATTAAAATCATTTTGTATCAGCCCCAACCGAGCAATGGAGAGAGGAAAAATATCATTCATGCCTTCAGTAGTGATACTAATATTCATACTTAAGTTCCCATCTCCAAAGTTCATTCAAGAACCATAAAGAGAACGGTGAATAAGTTTAAAAAAGAGGGAACTGTAGAGAGGAAAAATGGATCATGACGTCACAGCAGGAAAAGGGATCATCATTTCAATTAAGAGCTAATGAGAAAAGATCCAACTTAAACCATTTGGTACTTCATAGAGGAGTTTGAGATGACAGTCCAAAGAGCAATGAAATAAAAGAGTTGAAAGTGAAATCGTACGTGAAAGCTATGAGGCACCTTGTTACTCCAGAACAGAATATTGGAAAGTTAGACTGGGTGAAAATCATCTTGAATAAGTTGGAAAATGATCCTGGATATATATATATATATATATATATATATATATATATATATATATATATATATATATGAACTTTATTTTAATCCTTCATAAAATTCCGACCCGTGGTTATGATTAATGATGAACATGTCTATGATCGATTTCATCATCATTCTTCTGTTAAGATTGAAGAGTAATAATACATTTTAGTGCTTAAAGTAGAGTCCAATAGTGTTATAAAAGCTTCGAAGAATTCCAGTAAGATATCTTTAATCATTTGTAAGTTACAACTGTTCAGAGGTTAATCTGACAAATGAACAATTTTTTTACACGATTTAGACAATTTTGTTGTTAGAACGGGATATATATATATATATATATATATATATATATATATATATATATATATATATATATATATATATGTTTGTGCGCCTATGTGCCTGGGTGTGTGCAAATGTGGGTGTGTGCGTGTTCCTATGTGGATGAGTTCGCGTGTGTGCTCATGCTACGGTATAGAGGTTTATATATATTTTATAAAACCAAAGAGAAAGCATACAAGTGTGTGACGGGCATTCGAAAACTTTGTGGTGTAATCATGTTATCAGAAAATAATGCGACTAATTTGATTTATTTTAAAATAAACTTAGATTTATCTGTTTTAAACGGTAAGAAACTGTAAGTTCTTCGAGGTAACAGTTTGAAGTTTACGCTAATTTTAACTTCACCCTTTTGAGAGCAGCACAATTCTGTGAAAACTGAAAGAAGAACGGGAATTGTTTTCATAGTAAAAATGGGTTGGAAGACATTATATTTGCTTCGATATATATATATAGAGACAGACTATAATCACAAAATTTGGGGTCACCCCCTAGGTTTCGCAGAATTACCCTAGACACTGTATTTATTAAAAGAAGGTATTTGCAAGAAATAACTCAAAAAGCAAACAAAATTACTTTGTAACTCTTGTTCAACGCAACACACACACACACACACACACACACACACACATATATATATATATATATTTCATATAACAAAAAAACAATTTACTCACTACAAAAATGCAACCTTGTTTCGGTGCATTTAGCTGCACCTCGACTGGTGAGAACCAAAAATGGTTATGAACAATTCTGTTTGTAAGCAGGCCGCTCGTGAAACATCACTTCTTTTTATCCATTTGTTTGAAAAGAAAAAGGAAAACATTTTAAGAGGGGACGTATAAGGTTAAAGAAAAGATAGGAAAGCCAAAAGGGCGACATAGTGAAACAATAGTGCTACTTGATAGCAGTTTGGTGAAGGATTGTTGAGGTGTTAAGTTGATGGCTCGGACCCCAAAAAATTAAATCAACAGTACTTTTGGTTCTCACCAGTCGAGGTGCAACTAAATACACTGAAACAAGGTTGCCTCTTTGTAGTAAGTAAATTATTTTTTTGTCTATTTGGAAAAATTATAATAAATACTTATTTCTCACCCCTCGGTATAGAGCCCTCTTTCGAATTAATACTGTGAACGTTAGAATTTATATATTATTTTCGTTCTCATTACATTCGGGTATATATATATATATATATATATATGTATATAATAATAATAATTTTTTGTTTAAAAATATGATTCCTTCGCTACATAAGAGTTCTCATGTGTCAAAAACGAGAGCCGAAACCATCCAAATAATTATTAAAATTAAATTGAATTGAGGTGTTTTCAACTTAATTTTAACAATTATTTGGATGGTTTCGGCTCTCGTTTTTGAAACATGAGAACTCTTAAGGAATCATATTTTTAAACAAAAAAATATTATTATATAATAAAGCTCTACTTCTGTATGGAGCTCTGTCTTCTTAAAAATAAAAACAAAAATACTAAGCAACCTCGGATTATGCACCCAACGTGTTCTTTTCTATTTTCTGCATACCTGCGCACTTATATATATATATATATATATATATATATATATATAGTACGAGGTAAAATAGACATACCCATAAAAGTCGATATTTGTATTTTTACCAAGACCAATGAGTAATAGAATTCGTTTATTAATACAGGGTATTAATACATTATACCAGTCAAAAAATGATTTAGTATTTCGTTGGGTAACCTTTTGCTTTAACGACCTTAATTCTTCGTGACATGCTATAGACTAAATTTTATAGTAACAAAATGCAAAATCATTTTTTAAAGCGAGAAACCCCAAACGTTTTTGGTTGTAATGTGGATTTTTTAAAATATATATTATGCTTTAATACATATTTTAAAAAAATCCACATTACTACCAAAAACGTTTGCGGTTTCTCTCTTCTTTTTAATACACACACGCACGCACACACACACACACACACACACACACATATATATATATATATATACACTATTTGATATAAGACCTGTCGATTTAATATATGAATGATCATAGCTATATATACAAATATATGTATGCATGTATGTATATATGTATATATAGATATACAAACACACACACACACACACACACACACACATATATATATATATATATATATATATATATATTCACACGTCCCATTCTGAAATCCTCTTACGAAGAATTGCTATGTAGTGATATGTAAATGAGTGCATAATTAGCATAGCAATGTCATAAAGTCTATGTAAATGCCCAAGTAGTAATTGGAGAGCAAAAATATGATTCAAGAGATTAAAAAATACGAAGGAAAATTCTTTTCTTAACGGGCTATTTTATCTAACTGACTCCTGCGTGGATACTTCCTCGAACACCGTCTTAACCTCTTCCTCCCTGGGGTCAATCGTTATCTTTCCGCTTTACCGTCCTAATCATTACTTCCTAATCCCTCTTGATTACGTTCATATCAAAGACCGCATTCAGCCACTCTCTACCTTGAGTGGCTCTTGTACTGGGCGAACCTTAGTAAAAATTTCCTTTTTTTTCTTTACAGTTATTTAAAATTCAATATTTTGAAAATTGTTTAAATCTTTATTAATCTCAAAATTATAGTTATTGGAAGGCTTGTGTAATTGAAAGATGGGAAGAGGAAGTAAAACCATTTTTTCTTGAAGATTGTGCACATTAAGCGTAGGAAAAAGTCTCCCTGGAGATATTTGCGTTAATTTTGTAAAAGTTTAATGGAAAAGGTTACAAAAGGAATAATATGAAAAATTTCATTTTAATTTTCCCGTGCAATTAATTTCCTTCATATAATATTTTTTTTCTTTTGTTTAAAATTCATCAAAATTAAATATAAACAGATTCTGCTTATATTGACCAACCTTCGACTTGAATTGACTTTAAAATCATTCTCAATTAATAAATAAAAACAGGAATTTAAACCAGTAGTGTGAAGAACCATGATAGCCAAAGTCATGAATGAACACGGCACAAAAAAAGGAAGCAGTGTAGGTGTGAAGTTAGATAGATAGATAGATAGATAGATAGATAGATAGATAGATAGATAGATAAGCGGAACGAGTTATATATATATATATATATATATATATATATATATACGGAAGGAGAGAGATAATGATCGAATCGAGATAGATAGATAGATAGATAGATAGATAGATAGATAGATAGATAGATAAGAATATGTTCTTTCATCACCGGTGTGATTGAGAAATCTACGTGTATATAAATTTATGTGTATGTATACGTTTCTTTGTGTATCTGTGTGTGAGTATATGTGTCTTTGCATGTCTCTGTGTCTGTATATATATGTGTGTCTATTTTTTGAAAATCTCTTGTCAGGAGTCAAGAAGGCTGGTG